ATCCATTTGTATATAAACCACAATTTCTTTTATAGTCCTATCTATCAGTTGATGGACATTTAGCTTCCATATTTGGTATTGTTGAGAGTGCTGCATACTCAACATTGGAGTACAAGTGCCCCTGCTTAGTCAGTACCCTGTATCCCTTGGATAAATTCCCTAGCAGTGCTATTGCTGGGTCATAGGGTAGGTCTGTTTTAATTTTCGAGGTGAACTCTCTATCTTCCAGAGCTAAGGCTGCACCAATTTGTATTCCCACCACCAGGGAATGAGGGTTCCCGCTTTCTCCACATCTCTCCAGCATTCATCTATAGTCTTCCTGATTGTCTATTTTTGGCCACTCTGGACTAGCGGAGGGTGATACCTGAGTGTGGTTTTGATTTGTATTTCCCTGATAAGGAGCGACGCTGAACATCTTTTCATGTGCCTGTTGGCCATAGGATAGATATTCTTGATTGCACTGATGAGGATTTCTTTACGTTTCCTTCAATGATTCACTGAGGTTTCCTCCAGTGGAAAGAAATGTCCTCTGTGATTATTCACACTTTCATAGTTTTAGATTCTTCTTCAATTGAATATACTGGATGTAACTGTGGTTTCCTTTTACAGGATAAGTTAAAAATGGCTCATTATACTGCAAGCTTTATATTTACCACTTCTAAACAAGGCCATACATACTATTTATATAATTAAATCATCCAAAATGATTTATTATGCTTCCAGCATTATTTTGAATTATATCATAATCACAAAAAGACTCATAATCTCTTGTCCAAAAATCTATTAATCATGTCAAGATTTGATATGTGGCCAAAACTATTCATTTCCCAGAATCTTGAAGTACTAAATTAAGCTCAAATTGTGGACTATGAATTGAATCTAAGAATAAACCAAGAATAATTATGTACAATTCCAAGGTGTTTTGTTTCTCATTAACACTCACTTGAATGAGTTCTCTTGCTAATGCTGCACAGAAACGTTAATGCTATAAAAGCTTCAGGAAGGAACCAAATTTTGTGTAACAGGTAGATAAAACAACGCTCTTCTATTTGCTTCTCTATAGGCTCCAATAATGAAAACAAGAAGCTGTAGACATTCAAATGGAGGCAGAAAGGTCAAATTCTGGCTGAAAATAAGGCATTTCATTAAACATAAGGGACTATGTTATTTTTTAAGTCAGTGTTCTAAGGTCAGCTTAAATGAGTGAATGCAGATTTTAACTGCTCAGAAACATATGGGTTGTGTTCTGTTATCCCAAGAAAGACCCAAAGGCCATATCTATATCAGAGATATAGTCAGAATGTGGCATATAATTGTGTCACTGGTTAATGCAAGCCAGAATAAAGGAACTACATTGTTTGTGCCCTATTTTTGCCAATTTTCTAGTTTCAAAGGAATAAATGCAAACATTGTTCAACAAAGGCTGTATTACATCTACTTAGGAATCAGAGGTAACATTTTTATGACAGATTTTTCTGTTTTGAATATTCCTGTATTTATATTTTTCTTTTTCAAGCTGAGAGCAGATTTTCCACTGTTTACACAAAATCACCAAAACATAAATGATAGACATCACACAGGCTGATACAAATGCAGTGAACAGTTTGGGGAATAAGCCATTTTCCTAGGAAGCCTCCATTCAACTGATATACCCTTAGTCCATTTGTGGCCACTGACTTTTAGATAGTGTGAGAAGCTGAGAACATATTATGCTTTTAACTTATTCTCTAGTGCTCCACCCATATTGTGGGAGGAACAGCGTTGCACAGCAAGATTTTATGGGTAGCTCGTTGAATATCCTTGATTCAAGTCAACCCAAGGCCTAATCTTAAGTCCACTTAGGTTTATCAATAGTTTAAAAAATATTCGTAGAATTTAAGTGAAACTGACAGATTAATTGACCTCCAAGGAGCACAGAAATCACCTACAATTGCACACATCTTGCTGCTATTCCTGTTCCAGGGACACAGCTGATAAGAATAAGAAATCTATGGTTTCCTCCGTCCGTGAATACTTTACTCACTGAAACTTAATAATCTCAGAATTATTCCTTTTCTCTGTAACTATTTTGGGATGGTCTGTATTTTTGCATGAAAGTGATCTCTTAGGAGTGAAAAAGAAGGGGTGAAATCAATAAAGTTCACATGGCGCGACTGACTTTAATTTGTGCAGGCTGTTTAAATCTGTTAGGCTGAGATCTAAGTCATAAAAAAGAACAATGAAACTGGTTTAAGGTAAAGAGCAGACTATATTCATATAAAGAAAAAAAGTGCAACATACTGAATCTTCTAAACAAGGAAACAAGAACAAACAGACGCACAGACAAAGGTAAAAAGTCACAGAATAAAGAAGAATAGTTATTAGAGTTATCACCTTCTTTCCTTACTCACAAAGGCAATGCTCTGGCTGCGTAGTAATGTAAGAACACAACAAAACCAACTTAAAGTAATTCAGTCTAAGTATACCTAAAAATTTACACACATGTAATTATAGTAAAATTGGAAAAAATATTTTTTCAGGCTTAGCACAAAAACCCAAAAGTCCTGTTTTTTATGATCTCCCCAGTTAACAAATTTTGATTTTGCTTAAGATTTAACCAGAGGCCACATGATAGGCACATTTATTAATCAACACCAATAGTATTTGTCATGAAAATAGGATTTGCTAGCCATATTTCCATACACAGCAATGTAGGAATTTACAGTTCTGTGTTGGAAGTCACAACAAAACCTGGATCTTCTGTTTGTTGTAATCACAATTTGTGTGTTGAACTGGAGATTAACATTTACCACTTAAAATATTCCTATTAATGAATAAAGCTGGAAAAATATAGCTCAGCTATTATTGTGGGTTTTAAAATTTTTCTTACAGAAGACTTCTTTCACTTAAGGAAAACACCTGAAATCTTATTAGCCAAAATAAACAAATGTGGAGTTCCCACAGAATTAAAAGGAAACAATAGGTGACCTTCCCCATATCCCTCCAACTAGGACTTCCATTTCCTCATCCTATTTTATATCATCAGTGCTGAAGAAAGAATTAATATACAAAAAGCTTGAAAGCAATGGTGTTGTCTGTCTTCCTTATTTCACTCATAGGAAAACAAAGACACCAAGATATTCAGTAGCTTGACCAATTAGTCCATCTACATAATGAAGGAGTTGAGACTACCCCCCTCATCTCTTGACTTCCAGGCCATGGTCTTTCCTATCTTCCTACTCTATTTCCTTCTCTTAGAATTAGGAAAACATAAACCCTGAAAATAAAATAAACTATCTGTGGTTAATTTGGAATTCTCTTTCCCCTAAAAGTTGTTTGCTCTAAAGTGTGAAGTTTCCTTACAGGGTTCACCAGTTCAAAGCTGCCTGGATTGGGCTGAATATTTCCTAATTCTGTAGTGAGGGATGAATTTAAATTGTTTACAAATGCATCCTTTAAAGAGTCCCAATGCAAACTTTAAATGTTGTAGGTCTTAGAAAGAAGAGTATAGTTCATGAGAACTCAGATGTGATGCTAATACGCAAACATTTTTAGAGAGGAAAGCCATTAGTAATCACAAGTAAATAGATTTTAAATGTCAGGAAATTTCTTTGGGGGCAACATTAGGCAAAACGGCTACCCCTAGTGCATTATACAATGAGAAGATTTCTTCCAGAATGTCCTTTAGGATCTTTATGAAAAGTACCACACTCCTTACCATGCCTCAGCAGCCACCATTTTTTTTTTCACAAATAAAATAATGGGAAAGAAGAGAAGATTTATTATGTCTCCTTGAAGCCTTAGAATTTTATGATTTCATGATAATAGGTATATAATATCACAACTGGATGTGGAAAGGCACAGGGGATTATTTGATTAACACTTAAATTTCTGAAGACTAGTATTTGAGAGCCATTTTCCCCCTAAATATCATCAGAATTTTATCTTAAATACTTTTTTGGTGGGGGGAGCCTGGGTGTCTCAGTCAGTTAAGCATCTGACTCTTGGTTTCGGCTCAGATCATGACCTCATGGTTTGTGAGTTTGAGCCCTGCATCAGACTCTGTGCTGACAGTGCAAATCCTGCTTGAGACTCTTGCTCTCTTCTGCCCCTCCACTCCTCGTGATCTCTCTCTCAAAATATATATATTTAAAAACAAATACCTTTTCTTTTTTTGAGAGAGAGAGAGAGAGGAGGGAGGAGGTGGAGAGGGGGAGAGAGAGGGAATCTCAAGCAGGCTCGATGCCCAGGGCAGAGCCAAACACAGGGCTCAATCTCTCAACCATGAGATCATGATCTGAGCCAAAAACAAGAGTTGGGTGCTTAACTGAGGCACCCAGGCACCCCTCAGAATTTTATCTTAAAACATGGGATTGATTAATACTTTATGTAGACTGAATAGATAGACTGCTCACTTATATATGGGGCATCACTTTATTTGTAAATTTAAATAATACTATTACCACAACATTAAACTTTCTGTTCACCTGCCACATGAGTTGTGTCTACTTGATTCGACCAAAGGGCTTCAAGTATGCTGTTCCTTTCCTTGTCTTCTATACACATCCCCAAAAATTGATGGGAAAAAGAATGCCTTTATACATTAGGATGGGAATTGCCTCTGTTTGATTCTGTCACTACCTCACTTAGTTATATTTTCAAAATGGTCTTATCTGATAGTATTCTAATATTACATAACTTTCATGCAAAAATATTCTGACAAAGAACGATTATGAATAAAAACTCACAACAAAATAACAATAGCCGTTTTTGAAAGCTTCCTTTGTGTCAAAAAGTGAAAGACGGTCTTCAGCGTTTTTTTTACCTTTTATCTTATTTAATCTTTAAAACAGTTTTATAGAGATCATGATCACGAATTTGAACCTGGGAATATAACACTCCATCTCCCATGATCTATACCTCTGTCTTCTACTTGTCCTAAACTGCATGCTGTGTGGTCACAGCACCCAGGGCGATGCAGACATGATCGAAACCCAACAGACACGCCAAAAGACTCTTACCTTAGACCAATCACCCATTCGCCACACATAGCATTTTGAGTAATCCTCACAATCTTCAGCCTCCCTGGGTCTGGTGGAGAGGACACATTTCTTCCTAGGGTTCGTACACCTCACGGTCCGGTGACGTACGCCTTTGCCACACTTGACCGAACACTAGCAGAAAATATCAGAGAGTCTGGATGAAGTCCGTGATTAGGAGATACAGATGAACGGTTAAATTATGTTAAGTAATATTTCTTTCTCTTTAAAAATTTTTTTTTCAGTTTATTTATTTTGAGAGAGAGAGGGAGAGAGAGCACAAGCAGGGGAGGGGCAGAGAGAGAGGGAAGGAGAGAATCCCAAGCAGCTTCGAAGTATCAGTGCCCAGTGTGGAGCTCGAACTCATGGACCATGAGACCATGACCTGAGTCAAAATCAAGAGTTGGATGCTTAACAGACTGAGCCACCAAGGCGCACCTTTCTTCTCTTTTCTTTTCTTTTCTTTTCTTTTCTTTTCTTTTTTCTTTTCTTCCTTCCTTCCTTCCTTCCTTCCTTCCTTCCTTTCTTTCTTTTTTCTTTTTTTTAAAGTAGGCTTCACTCTCAGCGTGGAGCCTGATGTGGAGCTTAAACTCATGACTCTGAGATCAAGACCTGAGCTGAGATTAAGAGTCGGATGCTTAGCCAAGTGAACCATCCAGGTGCCCACTGTTAAATAATATTTCTAATCATCTGTCATAAGCCTATGACCACATATAGACCAGGTTAAAGAACAAAGAGAAGTTAAACACCTGGCTATACGCCAGTACCAGGAGCCAGATGAAGCTCAAGACAGAGTGCTGGAGGTAAATGAGTTTCAGGAACACAGGACCATTATTACAGAGATCAATATAACATAAGAATTGTTTATTAAAGACAAATAATATACAGTGATCAAAATATAAAATACTGAACTTGATTGCCATAAAAATTTTTATGTATAATTATCTAAGAAAATTCATTTTATTTTTGCTAAGATTTAGTTTGTTTTAGCCCTAAGAAATGCTTGCAAAAGATAGAAAAATTTTTTAGAGGGTGTCATTTCTCACAAACTTTTCTTAAAGCTAAAACAGAGAAAAATCTTAGCAAAAATAAAATAAATATTTAATCGCATAATTATATACCCCTAGAAATTATCATTCTAAATGACTGCAAGCGTTGAAAATAAAATTCAGTTGAAAAACAGTTTGTTTATTTCATAAATAACTGATGCCTGATTTAAGATGGTGACATAACATACAAACATGTATGTATATTTGTATATTCCACCAAGTTTTTCTAGGTGCAACTTGGCATCTCATTTTCATTTATGTCTCTTATTATGGAATGTGTAAAGCTTCTCAGTTTTACAAAGATATACATCACTGACTATCTGGACACAGGGACCAAAATGGCATTGGGCAAGAGAAGGGAAAGGAAGGAGAGAAGGGAATGGATGAAAGATATGGCAAAACTTGAAAATTCAATGAATATTTGTGATTAAAAAATGTCCAAAACAAGAGTTGCAGGAATACATTTAACAATGACGTAGTATTAAGAATAACCACGTGGACTACAACAGGTGTGTTGTTGAAAACCTGAGCATGAAACTAATGATATTATAAATATCGTATATTTTACACAAATGAGTAACTGTCTCATAATTTATGGCTTATGTTTGAATATGTTGAGCTTTAAAGTGGACTACACGTGTGACTTAGCATTTTAAAATTTATATTTTAATGTTTTGCAGTTGGAACTAACCCTCAACCATAAAATCGATGTTTAAATTAAATAAAAACAAGAGAAACATTTTTTTAAAATGGTAGACTGCATTGAGACATAATATTTCTCCCAGCTGGTGCCAAAAATCTGTACAGAATCTCTCTGACCTATTTCCTCCTAAAGAGTTTGCAAAAACATTATGGTTAGGCTGGAGGTGGGATATTTTCCTTTGCTCACGTGAATCTTCTCTCCAGATTGAACTGATTCATTTGGATGTAATATTAGATACTACATTCATCGGCAAAGCACACATCAAAAATGAAGGAGAATCTGTTAAGCAGCAAGGTGTAAGGTGTAGCTCAGAAAAGGGAGACACCGGCAAATCATGCTACTGGTCAATGTACTTTAGTAGGTGTGGGGTTGCGTTA